TAGGGTTTTCGGTGGCTGGGGCTTTGGTGGTGGTGGTGGTGTGTAAGTAGATTAGACCTTTCCTCTGAGAGCCTCCAGGTGGACACAGCCATCCAGCCTCTCCGTGAGTCTGTGAATTCAGGCTTCCTGCGGCATCGGCAGACCCCTCTAGTTTTATTATTCCCAAGACGGTCTTCTAGCTGCTTGTTGCAGATACAGGGGCTTCAAAAATTCATGAAAAATCCCACTATCTTCCCCCCACCCCAGCCCCATATCTTCTCATTCCATTTCCCCGTAGATTTTTTTTGGAAACCTTCTTGTAGGAAAAAATAATCTGCTAAGTAGATCATCGTCGTTGGCACTTTCTGCAGCAAACTCCCTCTAGGGAGCAAAAGGCACCGAAACCCCATCTGACCTCTGCTGCCTTCGTGGGGAGGAGAATCCGGGCGTGGCCCACCCTCCATCCTCTGTTGTCCTGTTCCGACACAGCTGTTCCTCCTTTGACACGCTACTTTCTGCTGAGTGCACCCATTGCAATGCCACACAGAACTCACAGACAGTGCTTAGGATTCTGGGGAAAGTTAACAGGTGACCACAAACCTGAAGCACACAGTCTCCAGGCAGCCTGCCCGCTGCTCTGCCCCAGTCACACGGTCTCGGCTCTCAGGGCTGCAGCTCTGCTGGTCTTGGCCTGGCCTGGCCTCTGCCACCCCCTGACTTCAGGCAGGGAGGGAACTGAAATGTGCTCGGCTGTGCGCTCTGCTTCCTTGATGGTCGGGGAATGCTCATGTTTCTGCTCCTGAGATGGCTCTCTCATGCCCAGAGGAGTGGACCCTGGCACTGCCGGCAGTTCCAGGAAGTGTTTGCGTTGTCCACCCAGTCATCTGGTAAGAGTTACAGAGACCTGGAGAGAAGAGCCACAGGAAGTAATTCCACTAGACCAGACCTATGGTGGGTTTGAACCACCAGCCTTTTCCGTTCGGAAGCTGCTATTTAACCTTTGTAGCACCAGGGCTGCTTCTCCATTCCCATCCCTGCTTCCATCACAGGGCTCCTGTATAAGAGGTGGTTCACCCTTGGTCTGGGCATTCATCAAGAGAAACCCTTTCTTTAAAAAAAACAAACACTTTATTGAGATATAATTTACGTTCCATACAAACTCACTTCTTGAAAATAGGCAATTCAGTGGTTCTAATATATGCCAATGATCCACTCTCCCGCCTGGGGCTCCTGAGGGTCCCCTGGTGCAGAAGACTAGGTGAGGGTGGTGGAGAATGATAGACATTCCAAGAGCATGGTGGTTTGCCGCCATCTTTAAGTGGAGCACAGCTGCTCACTTGGCTCCAAGAGACTTC